TTAAAAAGTTGTACGATAAAGAAAAAATTTGCCAATTTGTCCGAATCATATCGACTCAACCTAATATCTTTGCATGTGGAAGCAGTTGGGTTTGCGAATGCCGCGCTTACATTTAGCTCAGACGTGTTGAACTGTGCTTCACGAAGTATGGAGTCCATCGACATGAGTGTGAGAGAGATTTGAGCTCAACTGCATCTCTACGATCATGGACACTTACCTTGCTCGGTCATATTAGCTTGCAAGCATTTCATGTAGCGGCACGCCTTGCACGAGTTCCTTGTCTCTGTAATTTGTATTGTTTATTTATTGTTTATTATTGTTTTCTTCATTGGATGTCATCAGAAATTGACACCGTTTCATCGTTGCATGGAAAAAAACCAAATACTGTCCTGAATGGGAATAGAATGGCGCACACCAAAAAGACTGATGGATACTGATCGCTTTATTTTTCTATAAGATTTCTATTAGTGCCTTTTTTTGTACAGTGTTAATCACAGTTCAGCACCCCTAGTTCCTGCCTGTGTTACGGGTCTTATACATGCACGTTGGCTGATGCGCCAGTGTTTGGGTGTTACTTGCGTCGCGGCATTTGCTAGATAGTTGACGTGAGACATTGACTCAAGGAAGTCCAGAACGCGCAGTCGCTGATACGTAGAGTAGTTGAGCCCTATTGCGACGCTGCCCACATAACCCCACCTCCGCTAGCTTCGTCGCGCTCGCCGCGACTTGAAAGCAATGCTATACACCTGCTGACAACTCTTTGCGGTGGCAAGCTGTCGTTAGAGCTCTGGGTCGGTGGGAGTTTTTGATTTCTTTTTCTTCGATTTTTCTCCAAAACATAATTTGCGTCTTCAACGTTGAATGTTGGCAGCTGGAATCGACGAGTATCCCTGCAGACGACAGAGTGTGAGAAGGCCTGAATTGCAGAGCAAAGAGAGCAGCCTTTCCTCACCAATGACACCATCCTGAGTCCGCAGCAATGGTGAAAACAGCTGCTTTGGCTGTGCCTATCCACGCTCCCTTCTCTTTTGCGGGGGTAATGACTGCATGCTCCTTCTCGACTCATTTTTGCTTAGTAATCAATGTTCATTCTAAAGTCCACAGTCTTAGGGAAATAGGAAGGGGATATTTCTGACTCAACCTTTTGCAAGAATTTCTTAGGATGGAATGGGTTTGCCTATGAAATTTTTAGTAATGCACTTCACACTTAAGTTTTCTCATACGGAACTACACTTTCTCGATCATCTGAGTCAAGTTCCAGAAGACATACAGTTCAAACCCGAAAAGCCGAAAACGTTACAAGAAATCTAAAATTTCGAATATCTGGCCTGACAGAACTTGAGAAACAGCCTCATATTGGCAAAACTTTTGGATTTCGAACTTCCACTGCATGAGGGTTCATTTTAATGTTCGATGTTCAATGCTCGATTTGAAGTTGGTCTTTTTAGATTTCATTATCGTCCCCATTTACCTAATATGTAATACCACTACAGTTGCAGATGTGGCTCGTTTCTGTCAATTGGGTCACATAAGGTTTTTTATGGATAATAGGTATGCTAATGGACTAATAGATTGCTGTCAACCAATCAGTTCAAAAAAATCTAGTAGGGTAAAAGATCTCACCTTTGGTTATGCTACATTCGCCATTTTTATCGCACAGAAATCGTGCCTGTCGTTGAGTAGCACGAACGAAAAAAATTTTGCAGCTCCTGGAATAATTACGTCATGCATAATGATGCGAAGAACAGTGCGGTGTTAGGAGACTAGGAATGAGCCCACCTGGTGCTCAGGACGACAAGTATGCTCTGGTAGAAAATGCTGCCGCGGTGCACGGTTAGAAGAATCTCATCAATGGGTTGTGAGTGATCACTGGGAAGGGGATCATTCGGTCGTCAGAGGTTGCACATGGCCGTGATGAAAATTCTCCGAGCATCGATGAGACTTTCACGCTTGAAGTGCTCTATATGTTAGGTCATCCCATTCAAAAGTGCCGTGACATATAGAGGAATGGCAGAAAAGCAAAGGGGATAGGGAAGCGGGCTACTATACCATTTGGAGCTAGTACCTTAGCTGTGTATCTGTGAAATTTGGCGAACCTACCCACAGAAGAAGTTCTCGAGAAATTGAAAAGAAGCCCGAGTGGTGAAAATCAGCGCCGATTTCAAAATCAGGCTCGTAAGAGGGAAGGCGCTGCTCAAATTTGACCTGTGCCGGATAGGTAGTTGCATGTAATGGTGTTCTCAAAATGCGAGGTGGAAGACTTTTTTCGGGAAGCCCGAAGAAGGAAAAAAGAGAAAAAATTTGTTGTCCTGATGGTCTCATAATATTCATCCTGCACAAGAAAAAAGGGTGAATGAAGTCAAGCGCTGAATGTCTGATCACAGAGCTGGACCCTTGTCGAGCTTCCCGCGAGTCTGACATCCCTGCTGCAGGTACCTAAGTTCCTTGTATAGAAACAGGGACGCAAGCACCGGATCCATACCTGAGCAGTAACCGTTCCTCCCGCATTAGATGTCATTCACAGACCATCGAAATCACCGTCGGCCCTAGATGAATATGGGGTCTTGAGCCCCGAAGCAGAAACTCTTAAGACAGCCCCCGCGTCAGTGGACAACTGGTGGTCTTACTTGGCAGTAGTTCAGCCCCCAAGCTAGATACTATCTCACTCTCGCGACTCCCTCAGCGAGCGAGAAGCGAGCTAGAACCGCTCAAAGTTCTAGTTCTAACGCCTGCTCAGTTGACCAGTCCTACACTATCTAAAGGCTGCCCTCTGACGGAGAGCCGCTCAGTTGTTCCTTGTTGGGACGGCAGTCATTAATCGGAACTGCATGTATTTTTTGCTGACCGCGCTCGTGCTCGTAAATAATTCTGCTCTCCTTCATCACATTTTATTCACTGGGAGCACGTACAGTCAACAGCAACCCATCTCGTAAGGTAAAACGCGTAAAAATCGCGAATGATGTAATTTCTGTGGTGCAAAAGCTCGACGCACTTCACTACACTAAAACATGCACGCTACCGTAACCCTAAGTTCGGACGCCGGCTTTTTGAATGTTTCCTTTTCTTTTCAAGAGTTTTTCCTCTATGTTTCTGTTGTTTTTTGTTTTCTTTTCTTCGCATTCGATGATATCCACTACTGGACCACCACTGGGAATGTGACAAAGTGATTTGTGAGCCAGGGCTTGCACAGAGACCGCAGGGAGGTGTGACTGTCAGGGCGCGATTTTGTTTATGTGTTCTTGAGGGCTCTTGTTTCTTTTTTCCTTCATTGAGGAATTACTTATCAGCTACTGTTTCATAATTGATCAGCAATTATCCTTGACACTTTTATCGCGGGAGCTGTCTTTAAGGGTCATTTTGATGAAATACAGAAGAGAAGCCGCCCGAATTGCCGCTATGAGCAAGTTACGTTATGGCAAAAAATGGACTGGTCATCATGGGCGAAAGAATTCCCTACAATGTGGCCTTCCCAAATCTCTCTACACGGAATACAAAATCGTCACTTTCGACGTATACTGCATGTTCTTTGGCAATCAGATCAGGAAAGTTTGCTATCACACAACTACAAGAACTGCTACCACACAACTGCTACCACACAACTACAAGAAGGTCGCCATTGCTCGCCAATTTACTCGCATTATCGACAGCAATTTACTCGCACTTGTTGAAAGAGCGAAAGGTACCAGGAGGTTCAAACGCTTTCGGGGCACTGGGGGCGGGTCATTGGTGAGGGAGGGATTCAGTTGTTCAAAGCCATAATATGACTTCTATCTGTTTTCTCCTCACTTTAATGTGTATAAAATCTTCCGCACTTTTGAATGGGATGTCCTAATACTTCTGTGGTTGGCGATGCCGCAGCCGCAGAGCTGTGATACAACTACCACTCTCGACAGCTGAAGTCAGTAGTGACGTTACGACCACCTCCCTCTCTTTGTCGCCTGCGACAGTGATTTTACTGCGGAAAAAAAAGGGGAAATTTCTGGATAACGGACCAAGTGGTATCTCAAGTTGCAGAATCATTAGGAGATGGTAAAAGGAAGAGTGGGAATGAGGTTTTGTACCAGACGGCGAATCATTCGCGAGGGATGAGGTCGTACCAAACACCTTTCATTTCACTGATACGAAGCGGCACTGCCAAGTAAGGCTCATTCCACGCCTTTGATAAAGTAGAAGGCGATTCTCAACAAACATTCAGGAAAAAGAGAACCTACCCGCACGCCATGCCTCTGTAGTGTTTCTGAGCTCCCGCTGATCCGCACACATCGCATGTTGGACCAGCCACATTCGGAAGAATGTCCGTTGGAACAGCGAGCATCGGAAATGATTTCATCATGCATATTTGAAAGGAAATTAAGCACTATTTACCCTTTACTGCCCCAATCATCCGAAATCAGGCCAGTTCCTGACCGACTTTTTTCTCCGTGGGCAGAATTTGCTGAAAACTTGGCTCCAGGGGTAGTTCGACCCGCTGAACACGAATATCGCATCCGCTTAACCCGAAACCTCCTGGCGCCCGCACCACGGGCGCCGGCGCCAAAATAGTTGAAAGCACCGACTTCGCTGAAAACTTCCTCCCAGGTTTGGTTTGACCTCCCTGATCACGGACATCAAACCGCTCCGCGCAAAACACAGGTGCTGGCGCCAAAATACCCCAACATCACCGACGCTCTTGCTGCCGCGCGGGCGCCAGAAGTCCGGCTATGCGAATGTCATATTCGTATTCAGGTGGTCAAAATACCCCAGGAGACAACATTTGAGCCAAACCTATCCACGGAGAAAAAAGTCGGTCAGAAACGCTTCAATTCGGCATTGCTGGGGCAGTAAAGGGTAAATAGTGCCGGAAATTGTACACATCACTTGAAAGTGTTGTGGCGATTATTGCATATGCGTCGGAAGTTCTTTACGAGCAATGGATGCACTTTTTCATAAGTCATAGAAAGAAGTCACTCAAGCACATACAGGGAGGGGGGCAAGAAAAGACACTTTTCCTTCTCGACTTTCAAAGCGTGATACGTTGCACTTTTTTGATTACATTTTGACTGCACCTTTTCACCATCAAATAACAACACATTGTACACTATCAGCCCAGCCACAGCCTTCTGGACGTAATTGAGGAGGTTTAGGTCAGGTGACACACTTGGATATTCCGTCTTCAGGTACACGACGTCCTTTGAATCTATGTAGGTGAGAGTTTTTTCAACGCCCGATTCCATGTGCTAGCACCCAATCCTGAAGCAGTATGAAGTACCCCAAGATGGTACAGGGGACGACACAAAGGCAGGATGTTCTCCTCAAGCTGCTTTATGTTACGGTTAGCGTTCACTTTCAGTCCGTGGTCCACGAAGACAATATTGGTCTTCCCATTCTAATAGGAACTTTCGGTCCTTACCATCAACCCGCACCTTGGCGACTGCGGTGAAGATGATACCCTGGACCGTAGCGGCGTTGTCGGAGCTGCTCGATGTTGAAGGTCTTCCAGATCAAGAGTACTGGTCTCCAGTAGTCCATGGGTGACTCCATACAAGAAGTTTCGCAGCTGTTTGGAGGTGACGTGGATTCCATAGGCCTTCTCCAGTTTGGCTGCGATTGCAGATGGCTTCATATTTCGGTGTACATGAAGGTGATGGACGAGAGCCTGCTTCTGCTTATCAAGGAACATCTTGGGTATTTTCTGACCTGGCATTCTTTTCGTTGCTTGCATCTACTTTGGACCTCGTAAACTGTACTGGTATAAGACTCGGCCGGTGTCTTTTTTCGGCTCATCCCCTGTATTTGTTGAGGAGCTGACACAGAATTTTCCGTGCGAGCAAATACCTTCCACGAACCCTGATTCTATGAGTGATTCCTAATGTCTATAAATTCGTTTCCATTTTCCTGTATAAGAATGATGTGTGGCAGAACGGTACTTTCACATTCTATTCCGGCCTAACTACTCGACTATATCTTCTTCAGATGTTTAATCCACTACCGTATAAACGCGAAAAAATGTCGCTGTCACGGTGGTTGCTAATTCTGACGAATTTTACTAGCAGCTAACACAGCGCCCGCTTCCAGCTCATGCGGTGATGGAGCCGACCAATTGGTCGAACTGTCAGGCCTACAATGCATGATCATCGAATGACTTTGTTGGCACTCAATAAGCACTGAAATTTCGCCAGTGCGAAAGCTTCGTAGACTTTGGGAGGTTAATCAAACATTGATTGTTTTTAGAGGATGATCTGAAGACGACTAAAACAGCAGAAAGAAAAGGCAGCTTAATTGCTAGTCGAGAAAATGGCTTTTTGTATGTTCTTATGCTTAATGAGAAAACAGGGGCAGGTGGTACCGATGATCTCTGGCATTCGGACTCATTTGAACGAGGAATGCCATTGCTACCATAACCAGACACGTGATTAAGGATTCCATTAAGTGGAAGAAGGAAGATATCATCGCACCCGGTCCCTCCCTACTATGCAGGAGTAAGTCTTGTTCTCAAAACGAGTGCCAAGAAACCAAAAAGAAGGCTGTAAGGAAACCTAATAGTATATGACTTCTTCATCGGAGGAATTCAGATGTCAGCTCTACATACTCTAGAGTTCATAACTAACACACACGCACACTCAACCTTCGCCTTATGTTTATCTTCTCCAACAACTTTTTCTGGTCTTCAAAGTCACTCAGGTCCGAATTGTTGATTTCGCAACAAGTACGCCCCTCTCGAGTACGGCCCGCCCATTTTGAGGATGACTCCCCAATTAAGTCCACTAGCCTCTTGTGGACATCAATTCTTTTGTCCCCGGTGCACATGTTGCTCTGAAGGCAATTCGTGAATTTTTGACTTATGTCCCGCCCACTTCGACACTTGCTTCGCCCACAATGGGTGTGTCTATCTCACTTCCATAGTCGAGTTCTCGCATACTTTTGTTAACTTCTGAACGTTATCTGGGGTGCTCTGGGACCGTTTTACGAGTTTTGACATTTGGCCCCGCCCACCTCAGCTGCGCGCTCCGGCTACGCGTGCCAAACGGATGTTCATTTTCCAACCGGGTGACCCCCTTCCGCACGACCTTATGTACACTTTTTTATCAGTGTGTCTAGAGTGCTGCTGAACCTATATTGGCGATTTTGAAAATGTGGCTCCGGCATAGTCACCGACCACAACGGAGTGCCCCGCACGTTCACAACTGGGTGACCCCTCAGACCATAGCCCACATTTTGCAGGACGTCTCATGGCTCTTGGACACAAGTCACGATTTTTTAAAATCGGTACGTCCATGTGTTGAGACCACGCCCCCCCACTGTGAGCGGTTTAGCACCTTCAGATATGATGAACTCCGGGTGTTTATTTCTCCATCGACTTTTTACAATTTTTGAACTCTCTTGAAGACCGAGTTACCGACACTTGTAGGAAGCACACCGCCCATCTCGAGTACGCCCCACCTATTTCTGGTGTTCCCCCACTTGGTCTCTCAACCCTTTGCTAGCCCTATGCCACTTTAGCTGGGCACAGCATGGTCGTGGTTGCTATGTCACATATTGTGCGCGATCGCCCTACCCAACCCGACTTGACCCTATCGCCCTCCCAGTTGTTCTGCTGGAACCGAATTTCCGGACAGACTAACAAACAAACCAAACAAACGTAGCAAAATTAGAGATAGATAGATAGATAGATAGATAGATAGATAGATAGATAGATAGATAGATAGATAGATAGATAGATAGATAGATAGATAGATAGATAGATAGATAGATAGATAGATAGATAGATAGATAGATAGATAGATAGAGTTGTACTAAGATAACAATCATGTGCTGTTGGACTACTGTTACACGACCGCCACGAATCAGCACTTGATTACAGCGTGCATCGAACCTCTGGAAAGGATAGCGGCCTATCTTGAGGAATCAGCAGTCAACAGGGCTGTGACACGATCTGTTTGTGCGTGGGGGCGTAGGTTAAAAGCTGAGCTGTAGCGTGGCTCCAAAGAAAGTGCCCCATCGCAAAAGTGCTTTCACATGCTCGTAACTGCAGGAGGTGTGTCAACAGACTCAGAAGGCTGTTTCATGGACCAATATGACTTTAATTGTTAATAGATTGGGAAGAATGATCATAAGAATTGTAGTGAAGATGACCTCTTACCTTTTCTTATCGGTTGATATGATTACTTGTCACCCGTCATCAGTGCTTATCACTGAATCTTTATAATACTGTAGTGTGATGCACCATTACCTTGAAGAGCTACGGCGACTGTCACGTCCCTTATCATCCCCTGTCAGTTCTTATCACTTTTGCTCACCCACCATTTATGCCCCCTTCTCACCCTCACATCACTTGCTGGAGCCACGCTCTGATGCTATGACCGCTGTTCGGTGAGCTTATCCTTCTATGCCCTTTATCGGATCTTTTGAGCAGCTTACAGTTCTTGTCACCCATCAGCAATGTTCCTGTTCCATACTCTGAATCATATCTCTTGGAATCGATACCCAGCTGATGTTGTCACCTGTAATATGAATATGGTAACCATCCCTTTCTAACGACCCTCTTATCCAGCACTTATCACTTCCTGTCACCCACCAATAATGTTCTTGTCACACCCTCTATCACTTCTTGAAACCACCGCTACTGGGTTGGCCGCTATGAATTTCGTGACAAAAAAAGATGGACGCACACAGCACACACACGCACAGACATACTCAGAGAAGTATGAATACCAGGATACATACAGGGGGGGGGGGCCCAATGAAAAAAAGTCACTTCGATCGAGTCACATATCAGCAAAGTTTTCGCTGCCCAGACAGAGGACGTGGATACGAGTACCAGGGCGGAAGATACCCAAGATGTTCCTCGATAAGCAGGAGCTGGCTCTCGCCCATCACCTTCATGTACACCAAAATATGAAGTCATCTCCAGTCGCAGCCTGACTGGAGAAGACCTTTGGAATTCATGTCACCTCCAAACAGCTGCGAAACTTCTAGTATGGAGTCACCCATGGATAGCTACCTGGAGACCAGTACTCTCGATCTGGAAGACCTCCAACATCGAGCAGCTCCGACAACGTCGCCACGGTCTAGGACATCATCTTCACCACAGTCGCCAAGGCGCGGGTTGATGGTATGGACCGGACGTACCTGGAATGGAAAGACCGAATATTTTCTTCGTGGACCCGGACTGAAGGTGAGCGCTGGCGGTTACATCGAGCAACTCGTGAAGAATATCCTCCCTACATGTCGTCGCCCGTACCTTCTTGGAAACTTTGTACTGCTACAGGTTTGGGTGCCACCACATGGAATCGGAGGGCGTTGGAAAAACTCTCGCCTACTTGGAATGGAAGGGCG